TCAAATCATGACCCCTGGGGGTAGGGTGGGGCCACAATGACCAATGAAAGTTTTACATAGGTATATATAGGAAAAATCTTAAAAAATCGTCTTATCAAGAACCATTGAGACAGGAAAGATGAAACTAATGTGGAATCATCCTCAGATGTGTAGATTCAGGTTTGTTCAAATCATGACCCTCCGGGGTAGGGTGGATGGCCGATCAAAGTTTTTCATAAGAATATATAGGGAAATCTTTTAAAATCTCCTTTTCAAGTACTTCAAAGCCATGATTAGTGATATTTAATTTTATATGGAATCATCCTCATCTATCTTGTTTGTTTAAATCATGAAGCCCTGGGGGTTAAAATTCAAGCTCCCCTCCAACCTCAGTAAACTTTCATTTCTGATCTGATATTTGCTTTTTCCTAGCCGGTGTACTCAAGTGAGCGCTGTGGCCCCTGGGCCTCTTGTTTAACAGTACTCACAAGGGTTTCTCTTTAGGTATATATTGAGTAGACTGATATTTCCTGTCTCTATCTTACGAAAGTCTGTACATGTATATCGCGCATTCATACAGGCAGGGCAAGTCTATATATTTTGTCGATTTTGAGCCCGATTGAACAATAACGAAACACCAGACTGATCCCGATTTGAAGTTAAAACAATGTTACGCAGATATTTTTTTTTTATTTCCGAGTCCAAATCGGAAAAAAATTGTACCGTAGTCAAAATGTTGAACTTTTAATCATATAATTGAAATCAATTAATTGCCTTTACCCTGTTTACTACATGAGTGCCTTGATTAAAGGAAATGACTGAGTGATAAGCATGGGTGAAATTAAACAAGCATGTTTTATTAAATAATTACACGTCTTCTAGATAGCAAAATTAATCGTTAGCTTTGGAAATTAATTTAATTAATAAGCTTTGAAAACATCACCAACTACGTGTTTGTAATTGATCCATACACACGCATAATTTTAAAGACAGTCTACATCTCGGATATATAAATTACCTGTCTTTGTCTTACAGAAAGACAAATAGATTTAAAGAATCTAATCACAGATAACAGTAAAATTTAAATTTATCAGTATAAATCTTTTAAAGAATTATTCACTGTATGTTGAATTCGTGGAATGTCTTTTTCCGCGAATATAGTGAATATTAACTCTGTGAGTTAATTTCCTGCTGTACAGTACTTAAACAATGTTTTTTTTGGTTGATAGTACAGGAAAATGTTGCAGCTGTTGCAGAATTTTTTTCAATACCCATATTTAAAAAAAAGACAGTCATTTTATTGTTTATATTTATGAATAAAAGTATATGAAAAAAACCATTCAAAGTAAAATTAAATACGTTAGATATTGTATTTATAAACGTATTATCATTGTATGCATAACTGATGGAACAGCCATTTTTAATGAAATCTATGCAGGTGGCTTGCTTATTGTTGTTTATGGACTGATTAATGGCAAAGGTTTTCATAAGAAATAAAGGAAATAATATTCAGTGGTTGTAAATGTTATTTAGAATTATAGTAAATGAAACACTTTCTAATAAGTGGGAATTCATTATCAGCATGTTTGCTACATCTGTGTTTTACTGTATATAGCTTTCTGACATATATTTCAACACACAAAAGACATATATTTATCATGTTCCTTCTCAGGAGGATGAATATGAAGCAAGGGTAGGAGCTCGCTTTCCCATTAAGTGGACTGCACCTGAAGCCGCCAACTACAACAGATTTACCATCAAGTCAGATGTTTGGTCATTTGGAATTCTCCTTACAGAAATCGTTACATATGGAAGAATACCATATCCAGGTTTGCATTATTTAAAATACAAAATGTCATGCTGACACAGCTTTTAGCTCACCTGAGCTGAAGGGTCAAGTGAGCTTTTCTGATCACATTTTGTCTGATGTCCGTCTGTCTGTCCCTCTGTCTGACTGTAAACTTCTGCACATTTCAACTTCTCAAGAACCACTGGGCCAATTTTATAATGATTAATATGTTTATAACCCCGATTTTTTGTCTTTATCTATAGCAACCAATGCTTGAAGCATCTGTTAGGTGAGATAAATGCATTGGTCATCTGCCTTTTCACTGAGATATGGGGTAAAACACGATTACCTAACCTATATAAATTGTAATAAGGCATTTTGAATACACTTAGTTCATGACTACGAGGGGAACAGTCAAACTGTTGTCCTGAGGTAATGGGGGCCTATATTTTCCCCAAATTACTCGTAGAAAAAGTGTTCTTTGCCTCTTCTTTGAAAGGAAATTTGATAGAATATGTACTGTGTATACATACTCGCCTTTAAGTAAGTTTTTTAGAGTTAAATTTTGGTCTTAAACTCTTTGTCCGACTTATAGGTGAATCATAAAGAGATAAAAAGGTATTTTTCTGAACGCTGAAATTTCTGACTATTATAAATTTATTGAAGAAAATGTCTGGATATATATGATAATTTATGTGTATTTAGATTATACATAAAGTACAAGTATTTACATATTTTAATAATTTTTTTGTATTATAGGTGAGCATTACTTATTTGTTTAATGATATAAGATTATATATCGATTTCATTAAAAAAAAAATAATTGAAACCAGGATAAAACATCAATGGATTTACTTGAAATTGTCACCCGATTTTGGCAAAAAATTGTACTGACTTATAAGCGGGTCAATGGCAAATCCCACCAAAATAACATCAAAAAATACAACCAACTAATAGGCGGACCAACTTAAAGGCGAGTATATATTGTTTATATTTTTATTGGTATTGGGATTAATTTTCAAATTGATTGCCATGAAAATGCTTCAATTTATACATGATTCAATATCATAACTGTAAAGTACGAGAAATTATGACGTCATAATGGATCATTTCAGCAATGCACAGTTCATTTTGTCACCTGGTAAACAGTTTTAACTGTTGCATCATATGCAAAAACATTACAATGAATCAGAAAACAGTTCAAAATGCCTACTTACAATTTATATAGTAGGTTAGGCAGTTTTCTTTTAAAGTACTTCTATGCCCTACAAGATGCTTCAAGTGTGTTTTATTGTACTTAGTCAAGGTTACAGATGCTGCAATTTCTGCTAAGGAAAGACCAGGTTAAGTTTTTGGTGCAGGTTAAATTAAAGATATTGGTGCAGGCCTCATTTCCAAGTATTTATAAGCCTTATGTTGACCAAACTGGCTTGGATGATACATCTAAGGATGCACACTAACATGCTTGCTTCAGATGCTGGATCTGACCAATATTTTCTGGATGAATAAACAGGTTAAAAATTTTGGTATAGGTTTCATTTCTAAGTAACTATAAGCCCTGTGTTGACCAAACTTGCATGGATGATCCATCTAAAGATGCACACTACCAGGCTAGCTTCAGTTGCTAGATTTATTTTATAATTTCTTGAAGAGTGACTAGGTTGAAGTTTTTTTTGATAACTATATTCCAAAGTAGCTGCAATCCCTTTCTTATCAAAACTGTTTAAATGTTGCATCTTTTCATCTAAATTTCAGGAATTGATACTGTATACAGGGAAAGTTTCGCCCCCCGTTTTATTTTCGCCCCTTTCGCACTCGTCCATAGTGGGGGGATTTAAAACGGGGCGAATTCAAAGTAAACTGTATCATATCTTAAACAAAAAAAGTCATTCTGGGCGAATTTAAAACCACCTGGGCAAACTTGTTTCCAACTATAAAAGGGCGAAAATAACACAGGGCGAAAATAACCCTGTATACAGTATTTAAATTATATGCTGTCATCATGGTCATAGTTTTGAATATTGTGTGTGGCTTATGTGAAAAATTTTTGACAGTCCCACCAAGTTCATGAGGTGAGACTGTATTGACAATGTTCAAAATCTGTTGTAGGTATGACAAATGCAGAAGTCCTTCATCAAGTTGAACATGGATACAGGATGCCTTGCCCCCCAAATTGTCCAAAGCCACTGTATGATATAATGCTGGAATGCTGGAGGAAAGAAGAGATGGAAAGACCTACATTTGAAACCTTGCAGTGGAAATTGGAAGAGTTTTTTACCATGGAGGGGACAGATTACAAGGAAGCGTCCAGTGTTAAATAAAGTCCCACCTCTAAATAGTCATATTTTGCCTAACGTTGTCTGTGTTCATTGTAATTACATTATTGGAATAACTGGACTTTTCTTACAGAGAGATGTTGTTATCCACAAGGGAAGCGGACAGAAAAATCCTACTTCATATTCGGCTTATTAGTTTTAATTAATCTGTGTTTGATGAAGCAAAGTAGTTATCCACTTTGGTAATGTAAGCCTATTTTGAGGAGTGAGTTTTGTATAACTTTGTTTTATTATCTAGTCAAAACTAATTCTTTCAAGGGACAGCAAGTACTGACTGCAATATTTCTGTTACTTATGAAAAGTTAACAGTGGAAAAGATAGTTAATAATAAGCAAATATTAAACCTTAAATGGCTTTTCAACTTCAACATTTTGCAAAACAATATTTTATAAGTTCACATTAGCTGAAACCTCAAGTGAGCTTTCCTGATCATTTTTATCTGGCATACAACTGTCTGTCCCTCCTTCTGTCTGTCTGTTCATCTGTAACTTTTGACTTTTTCAAATTTTCTCCACCACTGGACCAATTTTAAGCTAGCTCACCACAAAGCTTGTTCAAAATTATTCACTAAAGGGACAACAACCTCTTTCAGGGGAGGTAATTGAGGTGATATTAATACTTAGATAAATTGTTGAATTACGGAAAAAAATAATATTGTGTATATTCAATGAAATATTCAAATGATAATTTATGAATTAGCTGAGGAAGTCTCAATAGACAATTGCCCATGTGAGAGCCACTTTTGGACAGATCGCAGTTTCACTTTTCAAAGGTTCAACACAGCATAACAAAAAAAGGTTGGGCTATAAGTTAAAGTGCTTTTCTGTGATTCTAGGGTATATGATTTACTTTTGCTGGTGAAATATTATTTAATCTACTGATATTAGGGCCATGGTGACTCAGATGAGCATAGTGACCAATGAGACGCTTGATGTTTTTTTTTAATTTTAAAAATAACATTATGGTGATAAATGCACTAAGTGCAAAGTACATCAGTATTTTTTAAACTTCAATATTTACAATTTTATGCCTCTTATTGTTTTAGAATTTGTTCTAATTTTTACTCAAGTTGATAGTTCAAGTGAGCTTTTCTTATTAGGTATTCCTGATCAGAAAAACTCACTTGAACTAACAACTTTGTGGCCCATGGGTGTCTTTATAGTTCTTATGGTACATCAATTTTACATTTCTTGGATATACAATTGTACATATTTTTATTAATAGTTTACAAGAATAAAGGAAGACTGAGATATATATAAGTGGATAGAATATTATGTTTTCTTATTATACATTATTATATATCTGAATACCTAAAAATATCAATGCATATCAAGTTATGTAGCATCTTTTTAGTCTTCTTCTGATCAAAATTTTTAGACTCTCATTGTCAGCATTTTCTCCAGAATAGTATGCATTTTCATCCAACTGCACAATTTTTCTTTGTATGAAGGGGATTCAAGTTTTTTAAATTTAGGTCATGCTTCCTTCAATGTGAGATTATCAAGGTGTAAATTTAAATGTGTTCAATAATGACCCCACTCCCTTGAAAATTGGATCACTTAGGACAGAATGAGGCTGCAATAAGGGATGTAAGTTTCACATTTTAAAGAAGAATCATTAAGAATAGACATTTTAAAAATAGCGGGGCTATGAGTGGGCCTATTTATGTGGAAGCATCCTCAGCTAGTGCACATAAGAGTTTGTTTTAATTATACCTCAGGGGATAGGATCGGGCTATAATAGAGGTTTAAAAATTTCAGAGGAATTTTTAATGTGATAACAGCAAGACCATAAAGATTTAGGTGAGCATTGTTGCCCATGGGCCTTTTGTTCTATTAAGCCAGAGCATATTCAGATTCATCATACAGAAAATTGCAGACAGCTTAAAAACATGTCACAGTTATCAAATAATTGATATATTTTCTTTTCTGTATTTTTTTTTTTTTTTTGGCTTGTAGAAGATTATTTTAGGTTGTGAGAATTTCAAGATTTAGGTTGTATGTAAACTTATTTTATTTTAAAAGTTGTGCCAAAACAAATTAAAAGACAAAAGGATGTGAAATTTTGAATATCACATTTGTTTGTTTGAATACTACATAATGCTTACTGTACAAAATGATTTGCATCTTAAATTTTTTTTATCATTCTCCATGAAATACTTTGAAACATATGTATGTGCATTATTATAAATAGTTAAACTGCTGTATCTTGTGGTTCTCTGAATGTAGAAGAAAGTAATGTTTGTCCCATTTATATGTATTTTAATGATTGCTTTACATATTTACTTGCACATATATATATGTATTGTATGTATAGTTTCTAGCTCACCTGAGCCAAAGTCTGTTGGTTATAGTCTATCTTTGTCATCTAACACTGGAAACTTCTCCAATACCGTTGGGCAATGACAGCCAAACGAGCCACAAATATGTTGATGAAAGAAAGATCAACACCCTCTTCCTAGGGGAGATAATTCATATTTTGTAATATCATTCCTAGTCAAGACTAAGCTGACACGGATCAAAAATCTAGGATTGCATGGACACTACCAAGTTTACTTTGATCCTGTATCATACCTACATTTTCCAGATGAATGATTAGAATAACATTTATCATACAGGCCTGTTTCCAAGTTATTATATTATAAGTTCTTCTAAAACCAAATTTGCATGGATATTAATCTCAGAGTTCACACTAATTTGAAAATTTTGTCTCAGTAAAAGATATTTTAAAATTACCAAGGACACAGCATGTATGTAATGTATTCAGGTTTGTTCAAATTATGGGTAATAGTGAAAGTGGAGGTAGATGGGTTAATTTGGGTTCATTTCATCAAACCAGAGATAAGATGGGGCAGCAATATTTGGTGAAATCTGCATAAGGATGATTATAACAGAAAGACTAGAATAAGCTCAGTTTAAACAACAGCAGGTCAAAGAGCCATCTTATTATCTAAGTATCTTCATGACTTATATAGTGTAAAATCTGTTTTAAATCAGTGTGTGGGTTAAATTTTGACTGGTATGGGCTCACAAAAAAGGGTCATTTTTCCTGTTTGGTGAAGCATTGATTGAAGTATGGCCCCTCAGGTAGGGTTTTGGCATGTAGGGGGGACATATAAAAATTAAGTATTGTAAGTGCCTCAGGTGAGCTTTGTTGAACATAGTCCTTATATTTTTTTCAAACTGCAGGTTGTATCGTTAATTGTTAGATTAGTTTTCATCCTCCAAATAGTTGTACATGTATCTCTTTGCATTACCATTATTTCTCTGATTGTAGAGAACTATGTACTATGGATAATTTATATCACTTTCTGTGTCGTAAGAGTGCACTGTATACTTGTCAGTACTTATAATTGTTGTGTGTAATGTCTAATAAAAAAAGCTATTAAGTAGACAAGAGTTTTAATTCAGATAATGAAAGCCACTTGGGTTACCTACTGTAAAGCAGGTCCTCGTACATTTACCTTTCATCATACATGAGTCTCTTTGCATTCTCAAAGCTTTAAATTTGGGACTTTTTATTGTGAAAATAAATTTTAATGATGATCATGTTGTAAAAGCGACATCTGTAACAAAGAAAGATAATTATGGCCAAATATTGATATCATAATTATTTTTTAGCTCACCTGAGCTGAAAGCCCAAGTGAGCTTTTCTGATCACATTTTGTCTGTAGTCCGTCTGTCCGTCCGTCCGTCTGTCTGTCTGTAAACTTGTCACATTTTCGACTTCTTCTCAAGAACCTCTGGGTCAATTTTAACCAAAATTGCCACAAAGTATCCTTGGGGGAAGTGGATTCAAGTTTGTTCAAATGAAGGGCCAAGCCCTCTTCCAAGGGGAGATAATTATGAATTAATGAAAAGATTATGGTATCTTAAAAAAATCTTCTTCTCCAGAACCATTGGGCCGGGAAAGATGAAACTCATGTGGAAGCATCCTCAGGTAGTGTAGATTCAAGTTTGTTCAAATCATGACCCCCGGGGGTAGGGCGGGGCCAAAATGGGCGATCAAAGTTTTGCATAGGAATATATAGGGAAAATCCTTTAAAAATCTTCTTCTCAAGAACCATTGGGTAAGGAAAGATGAAACTCATGTGGAAGCATCCACAGGTAGTGTAGATTTAAATTTGTTCAAATCATGACCCCTGGGGGTAGGGCGGGGCCACAATGGCCGATCAAAGTTTTACATAGGAATATATAGGGAAAATCTTTTAAAAATCTTCTTCTCCAGAACCATTGGGTAAGGAAAGATGAAACTCATGTGGAAGCATCCTCAGGTAGTTAAGATTCAAGTTTGTTCAAATCATGACCCCTGGGGTAGGGCAGGGCCACAATGGCCGATCAAAGTGTTACATAGGAATATATAGGGAAAATCTTTTAAAAATCTTCTTCTCCAGAACCATTGGGTAAGGAAAGATGAAACTCATGTGGAAGCATCCTCAGGTAGTGTAGATTCAAGTTTGTTCAAATCATGACCCCTGGGGTAGGGCAGGGCCACAATGGCCGATCAAAGTTTTACATAGGAATATATAGGGAAAATCTTTTAAAAATCTTCTCAAGAACCATTGGGCAAGGAAAGATGAAAGTCATGTGGAAGCATCCTCAGGTAGTGTAGATTCAAGTTTGTTCAAATCATGACCCCCGGGGGTAGGGTGGGGCCACAATGGATCAATCCCCCTCCCCCAACAAGGAAGCTTTTCAATAATAAGCTGATTTGTGTTTCTTAACTAGCCCATGTGCTCAGGTGAGCGGGGCCTCTTGTTTTTAAAAAGTCTTCAAACATAAATCAGTCATGTAGTCTTGGAGATTCATTCTGAATCAGAAAATAAATAAAATATTGATACTTGATTATTATGTATTACCATTATGTAATTTAAAAAGCTTCACATACATCCTGAATACTCCATAATTATGTCCATATAATTTGGTCCATTTTACCCAAATCCGTCTTTAGCTTTTCTGAGCCAAAGGCTCAAAGAGCTAATGCTATGGCCATTTGTGTGTTGAGAGGTGTGTAAACTGTTTAGAATATGGGCAATAACTTTTAAAAGAACCCCTTGGCCAATCAGTGTCAAATTTTTCACAGGGTATCCTTGGCCCAGGGGCTACCATTTATACTAAAATAAGGGTTAGGACCTGAAAACAAAGGGAGATAATCAGGAAAACAAAACCAAAGTACTGGTTGCTAAAAAATCTCCAGAACCACCGGGCAGATTTTCACCAAACTTGCATACAAGGATCAGGATATGTTGAAGATTAATATTTGCACGGGGAATTATCCTGGGGCAAAGGGCGTGGTCTCAAGGTCACTTCAAAGTTGACCTAAATTTACACTTAATAAAAACGTTTATTAGCTCTTCTGAGCCAAAGGCTCAAAGAGCTAATGCTATGGCCATTTGTGCGGTGTGCGGTGTGCATTAACTTTTTAGCTCACCTGAGCCGAAGGCTCAAGTGAGCTTTTCTGATCAAAATTTGTCTGTCATTGTCGTAGTCGTTGTTGTCGTCGTTGTCGTCGTCGTAAACTTTTTAGGTCACCTGAGTAAACTCAGGTGACCTATTGCTATCCGTTGTTGTCCATCCTCGTGCGTCGTGCGCTGTGCGTTAACATTTGAACATTTTCAGCTTCTTCTCTGAAACGACTCAACCAATTTCAACCAATTTTGGCACAAAGCATCTATGGGTGAAGGGGAACAAAAATTTTGAATTTCATGGTCCCTGCCCCCCTGGGGCCTGAGGGGTGGGGCCAAAACCACTAAAATTAGTGCAATCTTTAAAAATCTTCTTCTATGCTCCTGTACATCAAGCAGTCAAACTGTTTATTTGATTGTAATCAGCATTGAGTCCTCTACCAAAATTGTGAAATTCATGGCCCGAGGATCAGGGGTGCAAGTGCTAGGGCGGGGCTAAATAGACTGTATAGTGAAAATGCATTATTTCTTTGAAAATCTTCTTCTCTGCTCCTGGGCATTAAATAAGCTAACCAAGTACAAAGTTATGTTAAATAAGATTGCCTCTTTCAAAATTGTGAATTTCATGACCCCAGGGTCAGGGGTTCTGGTGTTTGGGCGGGGCTCTATTGGTTATATAGTGAAAATGCATTAATTCTTTGAAAATCTTCTTCTCTGCACCTGGGTATTAAACAAACAAACTAAGTACATAGTTATGATGACCGAGAATGCCTCTTTTAAAATTGTAAATTTAAGCCCATGGGTGAGGGGTTCTGGTATTAGGGCGGGGCTCTTTAATTGTTTATAGAGTGAAAATACATTAATTCTTTAAAAAATCAACTTCTCTTCTCCTGGGTATGAAATAAATTAACCAAGTACATGATTATATTGGATAAGTCTGCCTCTTCCAAAATTATGAATTTCCTGGCCCCAGGATCAGGGGTTCTGGTGTTAGGGCGGGGCTCTGTTGATTTTAAAGTGAAAATGCATAAATTCTTTAAAAATCTTCTCCTATGCTCCTGGGTATGAAACCAATGAACTATGTACATAGTTAGGATGAGGAAGGATGCTTCTTCCCAATTTGTGAATTTCATGACCCCTGGGTCAGGGGTTCTGGTGTTAGGGTGGGGCTCTATGATAATTATATTGTGAAAATGCTGAATTCTTTGGAAATCTTTTCCTTTGCTCCTTGGTATAATGCAAATGACCTAAGTATATATTTATGATGAAGAAAGGTGCCCCTTCTAAAATGGTTTATTTCAGGGCCCCTGCATCAGTGATACTGCAGACGGGGGGGGGTGTTAGGTATAAGGGAACACTTCTAGTATACCGGTCCCCATAATTATGGCGCTAAAATAGGTGCCACCGAAGGCGGTGTACAGTATATAGACGATCACGTGAGCGATCGACAAAATCGAAAAAGAAGCCACAAATTGCAAATTTGACCCCAAATTCGTGTTCCTTGTGAAAAATTGGGTTTAAAAAACTGGTTTTTAAACACAGTTTTTAAAATGAGAATTAAAAGATTTCGTAAAATAATGTACTTGTTTAGGAAGTAAATCTCCATCTCGCGTTGTTTAGGAATGTAGTCACCTGATCAATTTCTGACGTAATCTCATAAATATTCATGAGATGCGTCACTTGTGTTTTGACGTAATGAAGATATGTCTGATAGGACTCAAAGTGCAATGCTATTAAAATTGCGTGATTTTTGTGAGAAATACAGGGAATTAACAAATGTTAGCTAATTACTAGTCATCGATGGATTGAATTGTGCATCATTATCGATTTGAAAGGAAAATTATCTAAATATTTGGACATGATTAGGAGGTCAGGATATCGAGCTGCAGACTGAGTGCAGTTAACGGTAAGTCGCTTTTATAATAACTTGCCTAAACTCAGCACTAAAAATCGTCATGTTTCGACAATAGAGTTGATTTTCCCAAAACTTCATTTCTTAAACTTTCCTGTTCTTTGTAAAGCAAAAATTTTATGAACTAAACCAAAGTGTAAGATATCGGCACGATTCGACAGGCTGATTCATGCAAGTCTTTGGTCACAAAAGGCACTCATAGTGCCATTTGTAAGCAAAAATTACATAAATTAGCCCAAAGTCAGAAAGATTACAGAGTGGATTTATAAAACAACCCCACTTTTAAAAACTATATAACCTAACCCTAAATCACTCGATCGGATGTGTTTTGTTGAAGCGAGTGGGAAATTGCGGTTTGTTTACATTCTGCATAGCAACGTCAAGGGAAATAACTGCTCATGCGCAATCGCGTGATTCTGGGGACCGGCATACTAGAAACTTCCCGGTATAAGTCTGAAAATAAAGTAATAGATTAATACTTTTTAAATCTGCTCTTTGATATTAATCACCCATTTCTGATAAAATGAAATTTATAAAATTTCCAAAATTTTGAAATATGTGGCCCAAGTGTCAGTGGTTCCTCTGGGTTGGTGTGCACAACTGGTGGTTATAAAGTGGAAATGCATTTTCTCTCTGTTACTCTGATCTGCCTTTGGGTATTAAGTAACCAAAATAAGCATGCTAAATGTATAGTTATGATAAACAATGGTGCCTCTTTCAAAGTTGTGAATATTTCAAGGCTTTTGGTTTAAAAAGTCAAACCAAAGTCAGTTGTTGGAAAGTTGTTACATGATACTCAGGTGACCTATAAGGCCCGTGGGCCTCTTGTTACATTTTCATCTTCTTCTCAAGAACCAGTGGGCCAATTTCAACCAAACTTGCTACAAAGTATCCTTGGGTAAAGGGGATTCAAATTTGTTCAAATGAAGGGCCACGCCCTTTTCCAAGGGGAGATAATTATGAATTAGAGAAAAATTAATGGCATTATTAAAAAATCTTCTTCTCAAGAACCACTGGGCCAGGAAAGATGAAACTCATGTGGAATCATCCTCAGGTAGTGTAGATTCAAGTTTGTTCAAA